CTTAGGATGTTAGAATATAGGACCATTTATTATCTCCTATCCTTAGATGTCGGCCTCAGCTGCAGTGTGAGAATATGCAGTGTGAGGAAAAGTCCCACTTGATTCCCTTGTCTGTTTATATCAGTATTAATTCTCCCCAGCTCTGCTTTCACCCCTTGGCTGCCTTGAATAAGTTCCTTACGCTCTATGGTCTCATTCTGTAAAAGGAATCTTGTGGTGGCCAACCTCTGAGCTCCCTCCAAGAACTTGACCATGGGCTTTGAGGTGAGAAATCAGCCTGCAAGGACAAAGGGTCTATATTTGTTTCCTGGAGCTTCCATAGCAAATTACTACAAACAGGATGGCTTAAAACAACAGAAATTTGTTCTCTCACAGTTCTGTAGGCTAGAAGTCCAAAATCAAGGTATTGGCAGAGCTATACTCCCTTTAGAGGCTTTAGGGAAAGAAATTCTTTCTTGCCTCTTCCACTTTCTGGTGGTTACCAACAATCCTTAGGATTCCTTGGCTTGTATCACTCCAATTTCTGCCTCCATGTTCATGTGGCCATATTCCATCTCTGTGTGTCTTTCTATCGCCAAAGCGCTCTCTCCTTGCAAGGACAACAGTCATTGGATTTAAGACCCCCCTCTCTGGTAGCATAGTGCCTAAGGCACTTGCCTGCTAACCAGAAGGCTGGCAGTTCAAACCCACCAGCCACTCCTCGGAAGGAAGGTTCAGCAATCCTACTTCCGTAGTGATACCACCTCGGAAACCAAAGGAGGGGTCGCTATGAGTCGGGGCCAACTCAACAGTATACAACAACAACAACAACAACTCCAGAAGAACATGCTCAGCATTTCTTAAGTTGAAAGAACTGAAGAAAAAATTCAAGCCTCAAGTTACAGTATTGAAGGATTCTATGGGCAAAATGCCTGCTCTCTGGTAGCATAGTGGCTAAGTCACTTGACTGCTAACCAGAAGGCTGGTGGTTCAAACCCACCAGCCGCTCCTCGGAAGGAAGGTTGGGCAATCCTACTTCCGTAGTGATACTGCCTCGGAAACCCAAGGAGGGGTCGCTATGAGTCGGGGCCGACTCGACGGCACATAACAACATAACAACAACAACATGGGCAAAACATTGAACAATGCAGGAAGCATCAAAAGAAGATGGAAGTGGGAGACTAGAAGGGCTGTGTATGCACAGGGAGACAGCTTGGGGGGTGGGAGTGCATGGGAGGGAAGGACACAGGGAAGAGTTAACCTGCAATTAATAACCTGCAATATGCAGATGACACAACCTTTCTTGCTGAAAGTGAAGAAGACTTGAAGCACTTACTGATGAAGATCAAAGACTATATATAGCCTTCAGTATGGATTACACCTCAACATAAAGAAAACAAAAACCCCCACTACTGGACCAATAAGCAACACTATGATAAATGAAGAAAAGATTGAAGTTGTCAAGGATTTCATTTTACTTGGATCCACAGCCAATACTCATGGATGCAGCAGTCAAGAAATGAAACGATATATTGCACTGGGCAAATCTGCTGTGAAAGACCTCTTTAAAGTGTTAAGAAGCAAAGATGTCACTTTGAAGAATCAGGAATGTCTGACCCAAGCCATGGTATTTTTAATTGCCTCAGATGCATGTGAAAGCTGGAAAATGAATAAGGAAGACTGCAGAAGAATCAATGCATTTGAATTGAATATTCAGTCCAATAGTGAAGAATATTGAATATACCGTGGACTGCCAGAGTAAGGAACAAATCTGTTTTGGAAGAGGTGCAGCCGGAATGCTCCTTAGAAGTGAGAATGTCCAGACTTCATCTCTTGTACTTTGGTCATATTGTCAGAAGAGACTATTCCCTGGAGAAGGATATCATGCTTGGTAAAGTAGAGGGTCAGAGAAAAAGGAGAAGACCCTCAATGAGATGGATTGTCGCAGTGGCTGCAAGGATGGGCTCAAGCATAGCAACAACTGTAAGGGTGGTGCGGGACTGGAAAGTGTTTTGTTCTGTTGTACATAGGGTCACTGTGTGTTAAAACCTACTCAACGACACCTAACACAACAACTTCAGTGTGATGCATCTTAACTTCATTACATCTGTAAAGCCATTGTCCCCAAATAAGGTCACATTCATAGGTACTGGGGGTTAGGAGTTCAGCATATCTTTTTGGGAGACATACTTCAACCCACAACAGGTCCACTGATTACCATCTGGGCCAGTCATTCATCCTCGTAAGCCTAACCTTTTCAAGGTGTCATTTTAGGTTCTGCACCAGGCAGCCACTAGTTGGAACTGAGTCTGAGCCAGGACTAAGCTTAAAATTGTCTTGTATTTGAGCCATCAAAGATGGAAGGGTGAGACCTCATTTCAAATTTTAATTCCCATGGACACTCATCCATGTCAGGTGCTGGCACAATTTGACGATGTGGTAGGGGATCTAAAAATCTGAAATATGTCCAGTCTGGCTTGAACATTCAGGGTTAGTAGACTTACAACCTCTTCTACCTGTAGAGAAACCTTCAAATCAAAGGCCTAAAGGCAAGTGTAAAAGTTGCCATGGAAGAGTCAAGTATGTCTTTGGACATCCAGTTGCCATTAATGGAAACCTCCAAAGTCCATAGTCCTTGTTATGGATTGACTTGTGTCCCCCAAAAAATGTATGTTGGATTCTTCACTCCTATACCTGTGACTGTGACCTTGTTTGCAAATAGGATCTTTGACGAAGCTACCAGATAAATTAACATGAAGTCATAGGGTAAGACCTTATCTCATCTGAGTGGTGTCCTATACAAGAGAAGAGACACAGAGAGACAGAGGAAGGATGGCCATGTGAAGATGCATCTACATATCAAGGAACATCTGGGGCTGCCAGAATCTGGAAGAGACAAGAAAAGATGTTCATCTAGAGGCGAGAAAGAGAGAGAGAGAGAGCACATGTCCCTCCTGACACCCTGAATTTGGTCTCCTATCCTCCAAAACATTTCTTTACTTACAGGTCACCCAGTTTATAGTATTTTGTTACAGCAGCCCTAGGAAACTAATACAGTTTTGAATCACCATTGAAAGTTTTTCTGGACTCATTTTACCAGCAGCCAGAAGGGTGAAGAAGGTGTAGGAGCTGTAAAGCTTGTTAGTCTGTGCTCTAGACCGGCCCAGCAACCTGGCCCTGTCTCCAGAATCTGTGTCCTTGGCAAGGTAACTCCCATACCCAGCACTTAACACATGCTGTCTCCTTTTTCTACAATATTCTTCCCCCTTAATTTTCTCCTGACTTCCTTGTCCAGCTTAAATGCCCTTTCTTCCAAGAGGCTTCCCTGACCTCCCAACAACCTAGAGTGGGTGCCCACTATTTCCCCTCCCAGTATCACCTTTCTTCATAGCATATGTCACCTCCTTGATTTCCTCTTTCCTGTGTGTTAATGTCTACTTCTTACTGCCCCCCAAGAAGCATGACTGCTTTATTCACTGTTGTATCCCTAATACCTGGCACAGGGTGTGTAGTTAGTAAGTGTTTGAAAGAATGGATGAATGTATCCATCCTTCCTGCCTTGGAATGCATGGGCTACTGTCGATAGCAGTGAAATGATGCTGGACAGCTCACAAATGGCTTGTTTTTCATTTGGGGCCTTCCTCCCAGGCTGGGGAAGTGGAAAGATTTGCCTGCATAGAGGGCCCCATGCACTTTGGCCATGCAGCTGCTTTGGATTGGGATTTCATATCTCTTTGCATGTCATTTGCATGGCTCAGTTCTGAGTTCTTTGCTTCCACTTCTGATTTCCTGTTCCATCTCCAGATCCACAGAGCTGGTCTACTACTTCCTTGGGTTCCTTCTATGACCTGGCCTGACTGGCCAGAGATAGATCTGTCTTGGAAGGGGTGAATGCAGTGTTCGGAGCAAAGACCATAGCATGTTAGCTATCATGTACTGAAAGCTTACTCAGTGCATCCACTATGACATTTAGTCTTCCCAGTGCTCTACGAGGTTAGTGCCATTCTAATTCCCTTTTTATAGATACGTAAACTGAGGTTTGGGGAAGTTAAAGAATTTGCTCAAAGTCACACTAGCAAAATAAATCACACAATTGAGATTTGAGTCCAAGTCTATTGGATGCTAGAGGCCAGGCGTCATCACTGAGCTAAACTGCCTGTCATGACTTCTGGAAGGAACCAGGGAGTACTGACACATAACAAGACATTGGGCTGGCCCTGCTAGAGGCTCTCAGAATTTAGCACTTAGCACAGTTCCTGTATGGTGCTACCGTCGCTTCTTCAGTTCCCTACTCAGTGGCCTTCTAGCCCAAGCTAAGCACCCTGGTTTCTCCTCAGTAGTGCAAGGAACTGAGCCAGGCAGGGTCTTTGGATAACTGGTAGTGTTGCCTCAGGCATGGGTCAGGAAAAGGAATAGCAAATGTGGAGGTCTCGCAGAAAATAAACAAGTACCTATGACCTGGGTACCCCGACAGAGGGTGTGGAGGGTGGGGGTGGGGCACATAAAGACAGCCTGCACCAACGCGCTAGCCTTGGACTGCCCCATTTATTGAGAAGATCGATCCCTGGGGCCTTTTCATCAGGAGTAAGGCTTTCAGCCCCATTCCTGGGGGATTGGGGGGGGGGGTGCAGGCCTGGAGCATTCAAAAAAATCCCCAAGTGATTCTGAGTCTCCCCGAGGGGGTCCTTGTGTCCAGCCCACTGGAGTCAGGTCACTCTCTGGCACTCCGCAGGCTCTTGGTGGCACTCACTGCTACCCTGGGGAGCAGATAGGTCCACTTTCATCCCTGATGCCTCTCTTCCTACACCTCCGTGCTCTGTCCTGCAGCTCAGATGCAGTGCTCCCAGAAGGCAGCTGTCAGGCCCCTGCAACTGCGCTCACAGCACTCGTGGCAGCATAAATAGATTGCACCAGGCTGTGAGTGCCTGCTGTCTATGCCATCTGCCCAGCTGGACCCTGTGCTCCCCAGCCTGGTGTTTTGGGGAAAGGAGCCGGCTGACTGGTGTCTGTCCCCTACGCAGGCGATGACTCAGGATGCAGCCAGGGGCCACTACGTGCACGGAGGACCGTATCCAGCATGCCCTGGAGCGCTGTTTACATGGGCTCAGCCTCAGCCGCCGCTCCACTTCCTGGTCAGGTAGGTCCAAGGGAGCTGGGACGTTCTTGGGACCCAGGGGAGCCTTAGGGCCCAGTGAGCACTAAACCAGGCACAGCAGCCACCTGCAGATTCCTGTTCAAGCCCCTGAATCTCACCTGGCAGCACCTGACGTACAGTAGGTCCTAGTATTGGGCAGTTTCTCCTTGTTCCCATGATATCTTCCTTATCCTCCTCAGGGCTGTATCTTGCTTCCTCAGCTTATGTAGCTCCTTGGAGAAGGTATTGAACCTGCTTAGAGATGCCTCAACTACTGATACCAAAAGAGCAGCTGGGAGTTGACAGGCAGCTTTCCCTAGTATTCTCTTGTTTACTCGGTTTTTAGTTCCCTCCACAGCCCCAGCATCACATTCTCTGTAGAACAAGGGAGATCCTCAGAGCCCCAGGGAGCAGGAGGCCTCTTTGATTTCCAGGTCTGAAAAACAGGGGTATGTATAGGCTGGGACAGTTGTGTCTCTGAAGGCTGGCGCATAGTTGTGATCATTCCTTATGACTGTAAAAATCATGTTCTCTACTTCCCCATGCCTCCCTAACAACCCTAGGGGATAGGCAGGGTAGTCACTATGCACTTTCTGCTCTTTGGACATCCTTCGTTCCTTTCTGCCACAGGACCTTTGCACTTGTTGTTCCCTCTGCGTCATACTCTTCCCTCAGAACAACACATAGCTGGGTCCTTCTCATCATCCAGTTCTCAGCTCAAATATCACCTCCTCTGAGAGACTTTGCCTGGTCTCTGGGATCAGATTTGGATTAAAAGTGCCTTTCATTGGCTGTGCAACCTTGTGCAAGTCACATACCCTCTCAAGTCCCACAGGCCTAGTCTGTAACATGGGAATAATAACAACAGGAACCTTTTCCTGAAGGGAGGAGGGGAGACTCTACTGCAATAATGAATGCAAAGCCCTGGTGGTGCAATGGTTAAGTGCTTAGCTGATAATTGAAAGGTTGTCAGTTCAAACCCATCAGCCATTCCCCAGAAGAAAAGACCTGGCAATCTGCTCCTGTAAAGATTACAGCTTGGAGACCTGATGGGACAGTTCTACTTTGTCCTATCCGGTCACTATGAGTTGGAATCTACTTGGCAGCACCTAATTACTACACCGTGCTGGCGCATGGTAAACCAAAAAACCAAACTCACTGCCGTCGAGTCGGTCCCGACTCATAGCGACCCCTCCTTGGGTTTCCGAGGCAGTATCACTGTGGAAGTAGATTGCCCAACCTTCCTTCCAAGGAGTGGCTGGTTGGTTTGAACCGCCAGTCTTCTGGTTAGCAGTCAAATGCCTTAGGCACTGTGCCACCAGAGGTAGCCAGTCAATAAATAGTAGTTTTCTTCCTGCCTGCTTCCTGTCCAGGTTTTTATGGGGCCTAAGTTTACAGAAGGGGGTGTTGGTGGTTAAGTGGTAGAATTCTTGCCTTCCATTGGGAGACTCAGATGAGATTCCTTGGCAATGCACCTCAAATGTAGCCACCTACCAGCCATCTGTCAGTGGGGGCTCGTACGTTGCTATGATGCTGACCAGATTACAGTGGAGCTATCAGAGTAAGACAGACTAGCATGAAAAGCTGATGATCTGCTTCTGAAAACTCAGCTACTGGAAACCCTATGGAGAACCATTCTACTCTGACATAATGCCATGAGTTGGCATTGACTCCATGGCAACTGGTTTTTAAACTTACAGAATTCAGGGTGCAATCGTTAAGTAAAAGCAAAACCAAAACCAAACTCACTGCCGTCGAGTTGGATCCGACTCATGGCGACCCCTCCTTGGGTTTCCAAGGCAGTTGTCACTACGGAAGTAGATTGCTCAACCTTCCTTCCGAGGAGTGGCTGGTGGGATTGAACTGCCAGCCTTCTGGTTAGCAGTCAAATGCCTTAGGCACTATGCTACTAGTAAAGGTATAAAAGAATATCTGACTTCGGCAAATTTTACAAAAACTTATCACCAAGAGCCTCCAGCACTTCTGAAGGAGCCCGTGCATGTGGGGGGCCTGGAGCTTCAGCTCCATGAAATTCAAGGTCCTTCCACTTCCATCCCTGCTGCTTCAGTTCCCACTACACACATATGCACACACGTACCTGTGTGCACACACATATGTAGAACACGCCATGACCATCCCTTTAATTTTTAGGGGCTTACCCTTGCTGACTGCAGGGAAATAGAGATTGCCAAAATAAGAAAGTCCGGGGAAGTTACAAAATGACAAAATGTTCATCTCGCTTTTAAAATATAAATGGCTCTAGCGTCCCCTTCCTGAGCTTCACTGCCAAGTGATCATGGGAAGGCCCAGGACCATCCCAGACCCTTGGCCCCAGAGCAGAGCTCACATGGCTTCCTCCTTTATTCCTCCAGTTCACCTTGCCTCTGCCCTCCTTCCCTGCACCTGTAGGTACTGACACCCACCATAGGCAACCAGAGCAGGAGAGGTTGGGGGAGAAATGGTGCGCTCCAGAGACACAGGGAGCAAAAACAAGTCAGCCTCATTGACCTCTAAGGGGACCCCAACTGGAATATCCCATCGCTGTCTCTTGAGCTCCCAACATATATAGGAAACTTATGGTGGTGTCTTGATGGGAGTTGGAGGTTGAGGGTTGGCCTAGCATTTTCTCCAAGACCCTCTTGCTTTAGAATAGAATGTTCCAGCGCAGCTCCAGGGATAACTCCTGTTTCTTCACACACACATACCCACGGTTTGCAGAAAGAGACCTCCAACTGACCTCTCACTTCTCTCTCCCTTCCAGCTGGGCTGTGCCTGAACTGCTGGAGCCTACAGGAGCTGGTCAGCAGGGACCCGGGCCACTTCCTTATCCTCCTTGAGCAGATCCTGAAGAAAACCCTTGAGGTGAGAGCGAGTCAGGGAATCAAAGGGCAGAGTGGGGACTGCTTCAGAGAGCTGAGAAACAGGCCCAAAGGAGTGACAGCCTGGAATGGCCAGACCACCGGGGTCTTGGCAAAGGCACTGGAAAACACTGAGCTTTCTGTTTTAGCTGTGCTTTTAGATCAAAGGTTTCTAGGAAGTGGTGTAATCCGTGGGTGCAAATGGTTAATGCAGTCAGCTGCCAACCAAAAGCTTGTAGGTTCGAGTCCACCAGCGGTGCCTGGCTACCTACTTCCCAAAAGTCAACCATTGAATACCCACAGTTCTACTCTGACACCATGAGCTGGGGTCAACTCAGTGGCACCTGTAACTAGAGGCAAAGGCGTGGTTCTTTTTGACAAGAATAGGAAATAGGTGAGGAAGGGTCCTGCATTTAAGCTACTGCTTAGGACAGACATTGCTTGTAAATCAAGGTATTGATTTGAAACGACAGGGGAAGCTTGGCAGAATTATTTTCCTCAAAAACACCCATAGAAACAAAGAAGTGAAAGAGAAAGCAGATGGGAAAGGATAGAAAAGTAAACTGAGGCCTCCTCCAGCAGTTCAATAAATAAAATTCTGCATTTCAGAAAGGGAGTACATTTAGCACTGAGCTGGGCTGGGCTTCCAGACAGCTGTGAATCCCAAAACAAGATTCTGGTTCTCACAAAGAATTCTCTTTTAAGCTTTTCTTTCTTTCTTTTACCTTATTCTTTTTTAATATCCAACTTAAGTGGGAAATCGTGTGACTTTCTTTCTCAGCTATTCCTCTAAGAGGAAAGAAAGTCTTTGTTAACACACGCAAGATGATAATGCTGGCACCACAATTTAACTGGTGCTGTCATACCCTGGAGGAGCTCTAGTAGCGTAGTGCCTAAGGCGTTTGACTGCTAACCAGAAGGTTGGCAGTTCAAACCCACCAGCCACTCCTCGGAAGGAAGATGAGGCAATCTACTTCCGTAGTGATACTGCCTTGGAAACCCAAGGAGCGATCGCTATGAGTCGGGTCTGACTCGAGGGCACATAACAACAACAATCATACCCTGGAGGAGCTCTGGTGGCACAGTGGTTAAAGCATTCAGCTGCTAACAAACACAGTGGTTTGAAGCCACCAGCCACTCCATGGGAGAAAGATGAGGCTGTCTTGCTTCTAAATATTTACAGCCTTGTAAATCCTATGGGTCATTTCTACTCCTATAGGGTAGCTGTGAGTCAGAATCGACTCAATGGCGTAGATTTTTTTTTTAAGGTTATTATGTCCCTGCGTGGACAAACAGGTTGCCCTTGACTAGTAACCTAAAGATTGGCAGTCCGAGCCCACTCAGCAGTGTCATGGAAAAAAGTCCTGGCAATCTGCTTCTATAGAGATTACAGCTAAGAAAACTCTGGAACAGTTCTACTCTGTTTACACATGGGGTCACCATTTGTTGGAATTGATTTAATGGCACGGGGCTAGTTTGATTTTGGTTTATTATACCCTGATCACAAGTAAACCAGCACACACAGAGAAGCTAAACAACATCTGGAATGCTTAATTTACAAACCCAAATATAAAGGATCAAGTACCATGTGGCCACAGGGGAAGGTTGGTTTTTGTTTTGTATTTGAACTTTTTTTTTGTGGTTTGAGTGAAAGTTTACAGAGCAAATTAGTTTCTCATTCAACAGTTTATATTCATTTTGTTTCATGACATTAGTTGTAATCCCTTCCTACTCCCTCCCTGGGACCCCCATTTCCATTCTCCCATTTTCCTGCCTGCTAAACTTTGGTTTTTAGCAAATGCTGCCCTTTTGGTCTTGTATGGTTGATTGTTCTGAGGACCACGTTCCTCACAGATGTTATTGTTCACATTATAGGCCTATTGTTTGGCTGAAAGAGGAGCCCCTGGTTTGAAGGGTGTCTAAGGCAGTCTCAGGGGTTTCACCAGTCTCTATCAAACCAGTAAATCTGGCCTTTTGTATGATTTTGAATTTTGTTCCACATTTTTCTCCCACTCTGTCCAGGACCTTTTATTGTGATCTCTGTCAAAGTGTCTAGTGGTAGCCAGGCACCATCTATTTCTTCTGGCCTCAGGCTAGTAGAGGTCATGCATTAGTGCTCCATTAATCCTTTGGGGTAATTGTTTCCTTGACTCTTTGATTTTCTTCACTCATCTTTGCTCCAGAAAGGAGAGACCAATTGTTGCATCTTAGAAAAGAGGGTTTTGTAGAATAGACTGAGTAGCAGATAGGGCAGACAAATCTCTCATGACATTATTCAAGGTAAAACAAACCCAAACTCACTGCCATTGAGTTGATTCTGACTCATAGCGACCTCCATTGGGTTTCCAAAGCAATAAATTTTTCCTGGAAGTAGATTGCACCATCTTCCTTCCATGGAGTGGAGACCCACTGTTTTGGTTACCTAGTACTGCTCTAGGAGCTCTGGTAGCGTAGTGCCTAAGGCACTTGACTGCTAACCAGAAGGTTGGTGGTTCAAACCCACCAGCCACTCCTTGGAAGGAAGGTTGGGCAATCTACTTCCGTAGTGATACCATCTTGGAAACCCAAGGAGCGGGTCACTGTGAGTCAGGTCTGACTCGATGGCACATAACAGCAACAACAACAGTACTGCTCTAACAGAACTATGCCACAAATGGGATGGCTTTAACAAACAGGAGTTTATTCTTACGATTTGGAGTTTTTAAGTCTAAGTTCAAAGTTCCAGGCTCTAGGGGCTGGGTGAAAGCCCCTCAACCTTGGGCTTCAGCTCTGCCCTGCTCCCAGCCCACTGCAGCTAGAGGCTTTTCTTCACTCAGCTGCTGGCTGCTGAGGCTGACAAACCCAAGGTTGACAAGTAACGAGGCACAGTCCTGATATTACCAAAGCACACGGCAGGCCATTAAAAGTCCATTCAAGCCCATTACAAGTCCCAAGATTGGCAGAGCATGGCAGGCTGCTGAACAACGACTCAGCTACATGCAGTTTTCAAGCGTGCCATATGCTAGAACCATTCCCAAAGCTGCTGCTCATATACGGGAAGCAGACCACATCCCTAAAGCTGCCACTCAGCTGCTTGTGGTAGATCCCACTATGGAGAGATTGCCAGTCTCATCATGGGGAATAACTACCACCAGCTGCCTAGCCACTCAACCAGGCCCAGCCAAGTTGACACACAACCTTAGCCACAACACTCACCAACCTTCTGGTTAGCAGTCAGATGCCTTAGGCACTGTGCCACCACATGCACGCACTGCTGTGGAGTTGGATCTGACTCATAAAGACCCTTCCTTGGGTTCCCAAGGCGGGATCACTATGGAAGTAGATTGCCCAACCTTCCTTTCAAGGAGTGGCTGGTGGGTTTGAACCTCCAGCCTTCTGGTTAGCAGTCAAATGCCTTAGGCAGTACACCCCCAGAGCTCCTTTATTCAGGGAAAAGAGAAGGAGAATTCTAAATTTGAGCCTGCTGGGGTTACCAGGCACAGCAGAGAAGGTGGGACGCTCTCTGTGCCTTCACCTCCCATGAGCACCAGAATGGACTGAGAGACCTTTAGCATTTTGACCAGATTCTGAAACATGAGTGCATGTGTGTATATGGTGTGGTGGGATCTATCTAAATGTTTTCCCAATGAAGAAGTAATTCACAAAAGAGTAATGTGGGCAGTGAATTACTTAGTATGGCTCTTCTAGCTTTGTGGCCCACCAGATGACTGGGTGGGACTATTTAAATGTGAAGTGCTTGTGGCCCACCAAGGGGATTGGATAGCTTGTTAATAATGTAAAAAAGGTACATGGCACCCTTGTGGGGGTGAGACCATGCAAATAAGGTGTATAGTACCTTAATGAGGGGATTGGTTAATTTTGCCATCTTGTTAGACTTAAAATGAGCCATCCCAGAGGCAGAAAGTGGGGGCCTCTCACTGCCATCAAGAAAGAACCAGGAGTGGAGCACATCCTTGGACCCAAGATCCCTGAGCTGGACCTCCTTTGCAGAGAGACAGCAGAACGAAGAGACTAGTATGAGACAGAGTGGCAGGCTTGCCAGCCCAGAGAGTGAGAAAGCTGAGTGCCTGCGGGCAGGAGGCTTGCTGGCAGAATGATGTGCACCTATTGGCAGAGGTAAAAGAGCTTTATAACACTTGGCCAAGCAGGACAGAGCCAGGCCGAGAGGCTGAGGACCACTAAGAAGCTGAGGGCCAAGGAGATGCTGAGAGTGAGAGAGAGGCGTGTATGCAGGTATGGCCAAGGGGAGGCTGTCCTGATTGAAAAGTTGTATCCTGAGTTGTTCCTTTACCTGAATTGTAACTTGTTACTTATCTAGTAAACCCCATAATTGTGCATATTGTCTGTGAGTTCTGTGTGGCCATTGCAGCAAATTATCAAACCCAGCAGAGTAGAGAGTGCCATGACAAGGGGATGGTTGGTGTCAGAATTGGCAAAGGGTTAGAAGGTGGTAGCATGTCTGACCTCTGCCTCATAGGAATCAGTCTTAGGCTGTTGATGTTGATCTTGATCTTTCTCCTGCCTTGTGAAGTTAAAGGAAGTCAAAAGAAGACCCTGCCCCCCCATGCCCTTTTTGCAAATACATAGAGCTTGTAAATGTGTATAAAAAGTGTTTAGCCTCAGTTATAATAAAATAAATGCAAATTGGGACCATAAAGATATAGCATTTGCATAGCAAATTAGCAAAAATTGTAATAACCAGTCCAGTGAAGGGTGTGGTGAAACCAGAACTTTTATGCATTCGAGATATTATAATGGCAAAATACTTTTGGAAAGCAACTGGTAATATGTTTCAGAGGTCATATTTATGTTTTTCACCTTTGATCCTTGGATTCTACCTCTTGAATAATAATCCAAACTATAGAAAAAAAGAATGTACACAAAAATGTTCATTGCAACAACATATAAAATAGCGAGAAAATGATCTGAAATATCAAAATTAAAATAATAAAATTATAGAGCTCTACCAGAAGTGTTAATATGCAGCCAGGAAAAATAATGAGTGTTATCCAGGATATAAACAAAATTTAATATATAATAAAATCTCATAAGTAAAATTTTTTACTTGATTTTAGGGAAATTGACCAAACATTTAGAAAAATAGAGAGTGAGAGCCCTAATTTACACTACATATCAGATGAAATTCTAGATAGATTAAAGATTTAAATTTAAGAAAATTAAGCTTTAAGAAAACATGTGAATATGTATAGGTCCTTGCATACAAAGCAAAATCTATAAAGGAAAAACTTGTACTTACTGTACATAAAAAAAAAATTCCACAAAATTAACAAACAACAAACCAGAAAACATATTTACAACACAAATAACAGATAAAGGTGTAATAGGGTGGGAGTGAGATGGGGAGAGATGGCCTTAGAGACCATGTGGTAAAACCAAAATCCACTTATAATATTACATGGAAAACATATTACGAATGAAAATATTTATACTATTTGTGGTAGTTATGTTTGTGTGTCAACTTGGCTGGGCCTGGTTGAGTGGCTGGGCAGCTGGTGGGAGTTATACCCCATGATGAGACTGGTAATCAATTCCATGGTGTGATCTATCACAAGCAGCTGAGTAGCTGCCTCTGGGATATGGTCTGCTTCCTGTATATAAGGAGAAGCCATGGGAATGGTCTGTAGCCCACAATGGACTTAAGTTAATAGCCTGCCGTGTGGTTTGGTAACATTGGGACTGTGCCTTTTTATTTGTCAACCTTGGGCTTCTCAGCCTCAGCAGCCAGCAGCTGTCTGAGTGAAGAAATGCCTCTAGCTCCAGTGGGCCGGGAGCAGGAGGCAGAGCTGGACCCCCAGGTTGAGGGGCTTTCACCCACCCCTAGAGCCTGGCACTTTGAACTCGGACTTAAAGCCTCCAAATTTTAAGAATAAACTCCTGTTTGTTAAGGTCATCCCATTTGTGGTATATTTCTGTCAGAACAGTACCAGGTAACTGGAACACTATTACTATAACTTTGTGTAAGAAAATGCATAGGGAAAAATGTATAAGAAACATACATTGAAACATTAGCTGTGTATGAATTCAGATGAGAGTATTTTGAGTGACTGATTTTTTTAACTTCTGTTTTCCAAATTTTTTTCTTGTGGTGACATTACTTTTCACTTTAAAAACAACTAACAGAAAGGAATAGGAAAATACAATGCTGCCCTGTGAACGAGCCTCACCCTACCTTGCCTGTCCTTTCCACAGGTCCAAGAGAAGGGCACCTACGACCTGCTCACCCCCCTGGCCCTGCTCTTCTACTCCACCGTCCTCTGTGTAAGTTCCAGAGTGGGCCAGGCTTGGGGAGGCAAGGGAGAATAAGAGAGGAGTTGCCAGTGTGGGGGACACAGCCCTCATACTTCTAGGGATAAACACAAAGAGAGAATAATAGTCAAATAGTGAGACTTAAGATAGGTTTCAGCCCACAAAATGGCAATTTTCCCTTCAGAGCAGCCATGTTGAGAGAACTCCAGTAACTCCACGTAGATGCCATTGTGCTTGGCATATCTGGTCTCCCACACAGGAACCCCTTTCACAGCCTGTTCATAAGCCATGAGAGATTCTATGGAAATATATTATAGCCTACTTCATTTTGTACTCCATTGGTCAGTTTTACCCAATGTAATCACCCCCTTATTTACCAGACCAGTGGTTCCAAATGACTCCATATATATAGAATAAATCCACACTCAGAGAATAAACATTTGTCTCTAGTGGTTTTACACAAAGGTGGTTCAGGCATTGAAGACCATTCCTCAAAATGAATGGGAGTAATGTTTGGAAAAACAAGGTTCTTACAGTAGAGACCCTAGGTACCTGCCATCTTGCCCATCTAGTAACTCAGTCTCTGTAGGTAACTTCCAGTTCTTCCTGGCATTGTCCTGGGACAATCTACTGCCAGAAAATGTGTGTCCTTTGTGGAATGCTCCAGAAAGGGAACAGGACCTGCTTTAACATATCAGTGAGCTTTCTCTCATCCAGACCTCTCTGCTTGCTGCCCTCTCTCCATCCCAGACACCACACTTCCCACCTGACTCAGATCTCCTTCTGAAGGCAGCCAGAACCTACCACCGGTTCCTGACCTGGCCTGTTCCTTACTGCAGCATCTGCCAAGAACTACTCACCTTCATCGATGCTGAACTCAAGGCCCCAGGTAAATGTTGAGGCAGGCAGCACTGGGGGCCAGGGCACACGGTGAGGACCTTCCACTGTTCTTTGACTATGACCCTCCTCACTTGAATACTCCTGCTCATCTCTGTCATGCCCTGGAGCAAAGCCTTCTTCATGGGGCACATGGCAGGAGATGGCTGAATATGCACAGGCTGAAAGCAGTAAACATGGAGGGAACTCAAGGCAGAAATCATAGATGAAACTGGAGCCAGGGGTTCTGGGCAAGAAGACTCTATCACTTGGCTCTTACCTCTGTTCTGGTTAATCAAGGGATGTCTGAGAGACTACCCAAGTCAGATAGAGAGAGCCCAAGAATATTGACAAAAGGCCTTTGCTTGTCCTCTTTTCTCCAGGAACAAAGAAGGAATTGCATGTGTGGGTAGACTTAGTTCTTCAAACTAGTGATGAAAAAGTGAGTCATTTAATAAATGGTTATCAGGATAATTGGTAGACCTTTACAAAAACAAAACAAACTGATATTATGTCTCAAAAAAAAAAATGAAATTAAGAATTCTATCTCAAACATAAAACTAACTTACAGATGAATCAAAGGTTTAAGTGTGGAAAACAAAACATAAAACTAATAGAAGAAAAATAGGTTATATCACTTTGGAGTGCAGAAGAATTGCCAAACGTAGCCCCAATGCAAAAATTATAAAGGAGAAAACTGAAAAATTGAAAGCATAATATTTAAGCACTTTTTATGGCCACTACAGAAAAAGGAAAAGCTAAATGACAAACAAAGAAAAATTTTTGCAATAGAAAATTAATATATCAAACCCATGAAGAGTTCCACTGAGTCCATTTAAAAATAGGCCAGTGCACTGCCAAAGTGGCAGGGAGGCCACATCTCCTGACCTCCTCTATCCCCACAAGAGGAAAACAGAATAGCCATCAGTAGCCCAAGGCCTGTCCTCTGAGGCCAGACATGCCACCTCCCTCCAGCCCTTTTATCAACCCTGACACCAACCGTACCTCCCGCAACACCTACCACCTCTCTGCTGGGTTTGATAATTCGCTGAAGTGGCCACACACAACTCACAGCTTATGGGGCTTATTAGGGAGGTACCAGGCTACAATTCAAGTTCAGGAACAATGCTCAGTCTCTCTCAGCCTGCTGTCTCTCAGCCAACAGTCTCTCTCAGTCTCTCTCCCAGCAGTGCGTGTCTCTCAGTGTCTCTCTCTCAGGAGCATGTTTCTCTCAGCAGCACTTCTTTCTCAGCCAGCAGTCGGAGAGATTCCTTCTGCCTCTAGAAGTGCTCCTTTTGAGCCTGGCAGAGTTGACCAATCCCAACATAATTCTATACACCTGAGAATCCTATACACCTGAGAGAGAGCGAACTTCCCAGAAAATTACTTTGTGCTGCTCCCAACAGAATTACCCCAGGTGGATAATTTTAGCAATCAGCAGCTATTCAGTTGCTCATGGAAATTCCACCATGGAGTTTACAAAGACATGGCTAGAAAAGCCACACTATGTAATTTACTACACCGCACACACACATGGAAATATGAGTAAAGGACATGATTCAAACATATGAAAAAAGAACCATAAATGACCAAGTAACACCCCCCAAAATACTCACCTTCATTAGCAATAAAGTGCAACACTAAAAAACAGTGAAGGAGCTCTGATGGTGCAGTGATTAAAGCACTCAGCTGCTAACCAGAAGTGGTTTGAACTTACCAGCTACTCTACAGGAGAAAGATGAGGTAGTCTGCTTCTTTAAAAATGGACAGCCTTGGAAACCCGGTGAGGCAGTTTACTCTGTCCTGTAGGGTTGCTATGAGGTGGGATTGACTTGATGGTAGTGGGTTTGGTTTGGGTTAAACAACAGTAGACATTGTTTGTTTGTTTTGTCTATCAAATCGGCAAAATAAAAAAGAATGAAAATACTGGTATATGGAGGAAAAGGGGAAGGGGGCCATGTTCTCTCCTGTCCTGCTCATGGTTGCATAGATTGGTACACCTTTTTGGAAAGCAGTTTGGAAAAAGCATCAAGAAGGAACATACTCTTTTTTTTTTTTTTTTTTT